TCTGAAGGACTGAAAGATAGTCCACGACTCACGTCCGAATGTAGCCACACTGAACAACAACTGTGAATATATAACAAACACAACCACCACAACACACAAAAAACCACCAGACATCCTCACAAGACCAAACACCGCCAAACAAATTGTGAGCAGAGATAACAAACATCAACATAAATGCAGTCTCAACAAGCTGATTAAAAACTTCAAATGAAGTGTGTATTGATTTGTTGTGTACAAAAAAGTACAGCACACACAAAATAATGGGCAAAACTGCACAGAAAAAAATGACAACCATTGGAACCCGGACAATGTTGCTCGGAAAACTGACGTATCTCATGCACGATAAGTACACGAACTTGTCAGTTAACCAGAAATCAATGCTAACAGGGCTGCAATCAATGATGTATTCTTAATGTGCCGATACGCCATCACAATAAACATAATTACCAAGAAGAGTGGGCTGAAACTGAACAAAATGTGTCATTCAATGGTTTTGATGACTCTAGAACAGTAAATGATCCTCCTTTTGGGTGTATGGATTATACGAAGCCATATCTGCTCAGATCAATTTATACCACGCGATTGGTGGGTGTGATAAATATCAATATAAGTTAATTAATTATAAGCGTCACCAGATTGACAGGGATGTGAAAACAAGCCCCGTGGATCATTCTCCAATTGCCCTACAGCAATTCCGATATCTTTTTCCTCATTCTGAGCCCTTGAGATCACTGCATCCACATCTCTCAGGTTGGCCTTCTTATTCCAGTTGGAAACATTTGAGTGTTTGCAGATTTCTCTTGACATTATCTCTACATATTTTTTTTGGTCTGCCTCGTAGTCTACGACTATTTATCTCCCTTGTGTATAGTTTTTATAGTAATTATCAATGGTGATTTAGACAGATTATGAATTCCTATATACCTCTGGAAATAAAACTTAAAAGAACATAAACATTTCGAAGTAAATAAATCACCATCTTCACTCTTGTAAGGTTTTCGAAATGAAAATAAAACTGCAATATCTGAAGGTAGCAGCTTTAACAAAACAAGTTTAGAATACATTCTCAGGTTTCAAGAATTTATTATGTTAAATACATAAATGATTGTTTGTACACATGAAAACGATACCAAATGGGCGCACCCAACTGCTGGCTGGTGCGCACCCAACATGAAACCGCAATATAATGAAGGGACAAAGGCAATACTATACTTCATATTGTGCAGCAATACCAGATGTTTTCTTAAGTTATACAGTCTGTGCTTATATATTCTCATCCCTCCACATTAAAGTTTCCGGTATACATTTGCACTGCTGCGTTAGAACGATACTACATCCTATCGGTGACCTACTAACCTAGCACAACTATTTCGCAAGGCCTGGCCAGCAGTGCAGAGCGAATGAAACATTTGTATTGCCCAGACATAAATTTCTCCCGTTGTGGGGATAGGATAGGATAAAGAAAACAATTACAAAGGTTGCTGACATCACCTGTCTGAATTTAAATACAAGGTCACAGTAGGGCGGGGGGTTCTGTAATAGTTGACCCCAAAAATGTCTCCCAAGCACGTCTGTGAAACCGGTTCTTATGCAAATAGACCCTGTTTAATTATAATTGCAAATCAGCCAGCACACATTGTCCGTGTACTGTTTGTTTAAGGGACGTACATGTGTAGCCTAAATAATGATTCTAACGGTTCAACGTCAATGGCTGCGATTTACTAAGCCAAATTATCGGTAAAATAAATGTATGTTCATATAGCTGCTCAGTTAAAGTTGTAGTACACAAAAAATGTATGGTTTCACGCTGAACCAAAGTGCTGGTACAGGAAGTATATGCTTTTGTACTTGGTGAAGCAAATTATTGGTACAGCAAATCAAAGACCGAAACCCTGCTGAGCCACAAGATGCCCCTTCTGAATGTCCAACAGTTCAAAACTGTCCAACAATCAAAACCTCTAAGGTTAGTAGTAAACAAAAAAAAAAAAACAAAAAACAAAAAAGGGGGTGCGGGGGGAGCTGAGGGCAGAAGATCTAACTGTACTATAATTTTAGCTCACTCCAAACACGCAGAACCCTGGAATTTCGGGGAGAGTCTAATATTACAGGGGTGTTACGGTTTGAAATGAAGACCGACTAACCTCAAGAATTAATGCTTTCCCAGGGATTCAAGGTTTTCCCAGTTTAGGGTGAGTTAAAATGAAATTACCGATCTAACTGCTGCTCTAAAGACTAATATATACATTATTATTATTATCACTCGTTCTTCCTAATGGACCACGGTACAAGTACCACAACCAGAACATCGACACGAATGCTGAAAAAAATAGCTGCCTCTGATGTCACGAACACAAACACACACAAAACCGCTACCACTAGGAAGTGGGTCAAGCGGGTGCGGGGCAAATGACACTAGTCTCGGGGGTGGAGGGGAACGAACTGTCAGACACAATCAGGAGCAAAAAACACTGCACACTTAGTTATACACTTGCTGCAGGCTGATGACGAACACCTGACTAGGGGCCGATCAACCCCTACAGACCCCAGCTGGAAACTACTTATTAGCATTTTTAGATATTAAACTGTCTGAAGTAGCCAGGGTTAAACAGATCCAATACTTTATTTTTTTTTTTTAACTGCATAAAACTGAAATATTAAATTTATACGCACATAAAGTAGCAAATACAAGCTACCACTGACTTGTACAGTTACATAATGTTTACAAAGCATTAAAATAATCATCCGGGCAATTATGATGAAGAAGTGCTGCAGGGTCCAGTGTGATTTATGTGTATACCGTTCATTTTCTTCACAAAGGGCCCCCTTAGTTCAGCCATTCTTTTACGGTCATTCACTGATATAACAGCTGGGCTGATCAAAGCCAGTACACTGCGATCTAAAATAAAGGAAAATCTACAAACGAAATGAATTTAATAGTCTGTATAAATCCGTCGGACTCAATTGAATGACCTTTTTCCCCACCATCAGACGTACTGGGCATACAGAACCTATGTTATAGATAAGTGGACACTTGGTGGGTGATGCGGCCAGCATAACGCCTGTCCTTTACTTCCCAAGACTTAGTTGCTACCCATTTAAGGCGGGTTCGAGCTGAAATCCAACGTCATTTCTGAAAAAGGTCCAGCACCGTTCGGATTTAAACCGATGACATTAAGATCCTTATGCGAGCATCTAACCGCTACATCATGGTGGCTCCCTCTAATTCCTTAAAATGAACACAAATTATTAACCTAGATGGTCTTAAAAGGCAGAGTGACAAAGATGGTCTTTGATACTGTATTGAGTAAATATGCAATAACTTAAAATAAATAAACAGGTATCCGCAGCACTTGTTTCTTGAGTCTGACGAACTTTCCTTTATTGGTTTTATAAATTATGATAATAAATTAGATTGTTACAGTTCATATACATTAATTACTATACAGTCTGCTTCTTAGTAATTTAGAAGATAGTGTATAATATGATTGATGTTTTTTTTCTTTTCGCCATTTGTCCTCCTAGCAATACCAAATGCATGGCACAACATTTCAGTTTATGGGGAGCTGGGAATTGGGTTTTAAGAGAAAAAAAAAATAAAGAATTTGCAAATGAATTCACACAAGATCCATTAAGGCATCTTTTTGGAAGGCACCAAGGGGATAAGGGTGGGGGGAAACTGTGTGTCACCACAACTGGTCATAACCCGGCTTGCATGCAATTAATACGTGCCAGGTGGAACCAATGATAACACAAGATAATACTTTTCAATGAAGTGGAATCAAATTGTGTCGAAGTCGTCGGTCGTCGTCAGCAACATACAAGTTCTGTAATGCCATAAAGGCCACATTGTACTTTTAATAATACAGATATATTGGTCCAGTTTAAAAAAAAAAAAAAAACCATTCAGTGATTCCACGTAAAGACAATGAAAGCACCAAGGGCATATCTAATATACAATAAATAAAAGATACGTCATATTTCACAGATAAAAGATATAGAAAAGGGGGTGGATACAACAAAACAAAACGCATGGATGATGAAAAATAGTTATAACAGCAAACGTTGTCCTGAGTGAAATGATTCGCCTTATCCCTAGCAGGGCCCCACAGTCCTTGACCTACTTTATTGTGCTATTAGCGAGAACGTTGTGCGCTTGCGTCGGTCAGGAGATAATAACGGACACAGATATGGGATGTTTTGAACAAATGTCTCTGAAAAGAAGTATAATGTTCCAACAATATGTTCACCCCTTAAATGTTATGTAGTTTTTGTTTGCTATACATTGAAACTGGTAATTATAAGAAAGTTAAAGAAAGTGCTTGAATGGTGCAACATGACTTTCTCCTCTCGCCGTTACACAGTACGTTGTATCATTGAGAACAGAGGTAATCGGTGGAATCAAATGTGTTACTGTTTTTAGCTGTTAATAGAGACAATACAGGGTCCCTGATGATGATTGGAAATAAATACAATCTACAAGAACTGGCTTGGAATCGACAGCAAGTATGTAATAAAACAATTGAAGTATGAACACACTACAGTGGAGCTGAAATATAAATGCAGTATAAAATAAACTAGGAAACAAAAAACATGCTCTCAGATCTACGTTTAACAACGAAATTGTGTTGAAATATATGTCGCCTCCAGCTTTGTAAATTTGATGTTATTTTAGAAGTATCTATGTATATTAATTCATACCATTTACAGATGCCTTTCATTCAATTCAGAAAGATCAGTTTCAAAATTGTGGCGATATGAACGCAAAGTGTACATCACAAGGTTTTTGTCTTTGTCACCTCACAGCGCTTGGTCATGTTATTCTTGTCGCCTATAATACCTCCACAGCACATATATCTGGATATAGAAATAAATCTTATACACACAAAGCTCTGACATATAAACATGTACTTCATATGTACAAATACAAAAAAATCACCAACTCCTTCTCTCTCTTAAATTTGCCAATTTAAAAAGTTTTTTGTTTGTTTTGTTTTTACATTTCAATACTGACCAATGGCAACCTGGCAGCGCCAATTTGTGAATGAATTACTAGTTAGGCTGTCGGTACTGCCGCTATGGTTGCTGCTACAGCTGCTGCCGTCTGAGCCAGTTGGAGAAATATGAGCAGAGTCTGCTGACTTCAGTAATTGTGAGTAGTAATTTTCATACGACGATTGCCAATATGCAGAATGCGAGTCCACACATGGAAAATTATCCAGCCTCCCGGATTGTGGGCCACCTGAGGATAAGGATTTGGGGGCATTGTCAAGCTGGACTTCCGCAGAATTAAACATGGTGATTTCACTGAAAATGTCTGGAACTTCGGAACCAATGATTCTGGGCTGGTTAATGTTAGTGCAAAAAACATCATTAGAGCTTCGGCGGTCAAGTTTCATGCCAGAAAAACGCTTCTCTAAAGCGTGCAAATCGCAGATGTTTCTGGCGTGTTCAGTGTTAACGGAAAGTGCATCGAACTGACAATTGTCTGTCTTAGCTGCTGACATTCGAGGGCTGCTGTTTTCTGTGGGGTAAGAGAAGATGGTGAAATCATCGACGCCTGACGGACTCAATGAAGGGCTGCTGCTACCACTGCCTGAGTGTACACTAGCATCACGGCCTAGTCTCGGGGATGTGTTTGTAGACTTCGTTTCATCTTCATGAATGAAATGACACCTCGGGCCGTAGGGACAAAATCCTACTGTGTGAAATGTGCGGCAGAGTTCAGTTTTGTACTTCGGGTGTCTTGCCAGATTTCTGAGCTCATGGTAACCATGGGCAAATTGGCACTTGTCCCCGTATTTGCAGGACCCACTTTCTTCAAAAGGGCGGCACAATTCGGTCTTGTACCGGCTGGAGTTAACCGATCGTTGTGATCCGTTATCGTTGTCACTCCAGCTGCGATCAAGCTTATTTGATGAACTACCACCTCGGCTTGCTGGGACGGATGAAGATGAGGTGGTGAGAGGAAAGTCCATGAAAGACAACTGGTTGTCTAGCTGGGTGGAGCTGTCACTGCTGCTGCCACTAGCTGTGCTGCCGCTACTGCCACCGGACAAGTTCCGAATGCGGTTATTTTGATAGCTACACGGCAGCATGGTGCTGATGGTACTTCGACGTTCAGGGGGTGGATCTGTGCCGATCCTGAATACACCAATACGTCGATTCTGTAAAAGAGAGTAAAAACAACATTGAGTAATTTTATTACAAAAATTTGTTAGGGTGTGTATAAACAGAGATACAGAAAGATTAAGGAAGAAAGGTGTGTCAAGACAAGTGTTATGTAGACTAGAAGGGCGAGGAAGCCAAACGTTAACATGAGAATTGCACAGATGAATGACTGTATGTGGAGAGAGAGAAAAAATAACAACCAGAAAGCCTGACAGAAGACTAAGTCAAAAATAAATAGTAAGTTTTACATAGAGAAAGTTCGAACAATAACTTGAGACCATATCAAAACAGTAAACTTTAAACTGGCAACATTTTAATGCAAACAGCTCAAAAAAAAAAAAATGTATAAATGTAAAGTAAAGCAAAGCAAAACAACAGACTCTTTAACACGCCTTCAGGCTACTGGACATAGAGGGGAGATGTGGCACGCCGGTCGCCTTCACCTCCCATGACTTTACCACCCATTTAAGGCTGTGTCGACCAGGAAGCCAAGATCATGTTTGAAAAAAGTTTAGGCAGCTAAATGAGCCGCTTTCGTGCATAAAAAAAAAACGAGTTCGCAGAAGTTATGCACGCGATAATCTGCACTACATTCTGAGCCAAAATCCCTACAGCTAGGCCGGGATTAGAGAATAGGACACATGCTGAATGCACTTTTGTTCAGCGTGCGCGACCCGTCCCGTTTGCGTGTCGTGTACGGTTCACTTCTAATTCGCTTGCAAAAGCTTTTGCTACAGTATATACATGCTGGCTGAGGAGAGAGAACGAACTAGTTCGCGGATAAACCCGCACCTTCAAAGTTACACGTTATTTGCTCAGCAGATGTTGAAGTGGCCAGGGATTCAAACCAGGCTTGTTCTGGCGCTACTACTGTGGCTTTGAATTGCGATTTAGCAGACGAGAAATCGGAGTTCGAAAATAAACCAGCGACCTTCAGAACACGAGGCTGACATCTTAATCACTTCGCCACGGACAGCTGTATGTAGCTATTTTTTTCTATGAATTTCCTAAAACTCAAAAACTACTCTTTCTCACCCTAAGCCCTTGTAAAATAATCGATCGGTTTGTCCTCTTCTGGTTGCCACCCAAAGAACACTTATGATAAACAAGAGCTTTGCAAGAATCAAATAATGTCTGTTTTATGGCCTTATGCCATAATTAGAGGCCACAATTCCTCGCGAGGTTTTTTTACTGTACCATTTTGGGGGTGGGGGATGGAGAAGGAAAGAAAACGTTGCCCCCTTTCACAAACGTTATAAAATGCGACTAATTTGGGTTTGTATGAATAAATCGGATGTGTTGGGCCAAAAAGCGCTGATATCAGTCTAGCTGTAAACATAAAATTGCCCTGGTAAGAGCCAACAGACAGAAAAATTGAGAGAAAAAAATAGGTCAGTGTATCATCTACATTCTATAACCTAGAACATAGGATATACGAGCTGTTTACCATACACCAAGTAACTGTGAAGTGACAAGATATACAGTAATAATACGTTTTACTCAGAACTATCACTCAAGACGAAATGACAAAACAAGACAGCCGTTATACTAAATTGTTTACTGAAACAGCGAGAAGGTGTAACACAAAACAAACACTTTAACATGTCCGATTAACGTCGTATTTTGTGCATATTTACGATGAAGAAAGGCAAGTTATAATGTGATCTTAACAGGAAGGCCTTTAAACCAATATAACAATAATCACTACTTTAAATACATTTTTATTTTAAACGCTTCTTTCGTTTCGTTACGTCAGTCACTCTTTCTAAAGAAATATCCTTCCGTCAATAGTTTTATTACATAAATCGCCTTAGATGCACATGTTAACTAAGTCAGAACGTCGATGATATCTAAACAGTTTACTGTTTACCGATACTCTGGTAGAGGTTTAGGGGTCTCCGTGGAGAAGTGGTCAAACCGTTTGCCTGGCACTCTAAAGGTCGTGGGTTTAAGGTGTGCAATTTTTAGACATCCCAGGGGATTGTCGCCGGATCTACGGTGTTCGTGCTCTCGGCAGGCGGCTAGCCTGTCTGCGGAGAGAGTCCCAGACATGCGGGATAAAATCTGTTGCAATGAAATCGATCCTCTGACATTGTAACTTTGGAGGGGGGGGGGAAGGGGGGTGGGTTACTGCTTGAACCGAAGCTTATACAATAAAGGCAGTGAAATAATGACGTATTTACTATTGAAAAATATAACACAGAAATAAACAGAAGAGGGACCCTTGAAGAAGCAGAAACATGTAAAAATATATTCGTACTGATAAGCAGTCATTTTTACTTCTTTTTATGAGTGCTAATCAATAACAGTTAAAATATACCCGATCTAAACATACTGAGTGGTATAAACACTTGACATATTATTTTAATATACATGTATTCTTTGGCTTTGGAGCTATCTGAATTTGTTAAGTACAACTCTTACAGCCGAGTTTCAACTGTATGTTTAACTTGCAATAAAATAATAGACCCTCGCTTTATCATTGCTTACAGAAATAAAAAGCAAACAAACTATAATAAAAAAGCATTTGGCTGTGAAGAAACTACACAACGGCTATCACAAAGAAAGTATTTAAATATAACACACACAATAACAGATAATAGGCAATTCATACCCGAATAAAAATCTCTCCAAAATCAGTTTGAGTCGACTGGGCATCCAGCGCAAGTCTGTTATCCATTGAATACTTTCAAATTTGCTGTTATCCAAAGTTTCTTTCGTTCCTAATCACCCACCGTTCTATGTCAATTTACCAGAGCGCTCTGACTTTTATTCACAACCAGTGGGCGGAGCTAGAGCCCGCTTTTTGTCAATCAGGAAGTACTTCCGCGCGCGGTGCGCCAGCGCTCTTTTCATTGGTCACCTTTCACTGTAAACACAAAACGACCTTGCGCGGCGCAGTCATGCACGCAGTGCAAGGTCAGGAGATCCGCAAAAATGCGTACTACGCTTATGTCCTCTCTGTCTGATTGACTGTGTTCACCGCGGGCTTGCGCGGGTCTTTACTCTTTGTTCCAGGTTTCGATGCTCGTGGCGGCATTCGGCAATTCCACCACCCTTCCCTATTTCGTTTTTTTTTTTTAAATTTCAAACTGTTAACCATACAATATATTTACCAAACACGTAACACGCAGTTTATCGGTTACAGCGCAAACAACGCCATATCATCACCAACACTGGTGACCTAACCGCTCTTCAACTGTTTAAACCGAAATTTCGAGAGCACTTCGTTAAAAGGAGTATAGCCGGAGTGGAAGATAACCGGTTCACTAGAGGACGTTCGACCTAATCTGGGTGACGAAAAGCCCGCGTAACTGTAGCCGATAAACATTACCGCATGTGTTGCCCAGTTGTCATTTAGTGAATGCCATTGTATTAATAATCAAGTGGTAATTGCTGTTAGAGAGTCAAAGTCGGTCGCAGGGCTGCGAAGGTAGACCGTGTTCTATATACCAGTTGTGCAGAGTGGCGCACATAAATATAAAGTTTAAAGTAAACTCGGATATGTTACACACAAAAACAAACTCAGGCGATACTGATTGCATAGAATCAGTCCTCGGGCTGCTCAAAGAGGACTGAGCTTAAAATTTTTGTTTTTCAAATCGGAATCGGAAACTGAGATATCTGAACAAAAACTTTAATAAGAGAATTTCTTTACATGACTGGGAGATAGTACTTACTTACTTTGCAAATCTGAGGAAAAGGAGATGGGGTCAGGTTACCCTGGTGTGCCTGCCCGTTTGTGGCCGACAGACCAGCTTCTAACCAAGCTCTTCAATATTTTAAAGACATCGGTTGCATTACTGAAAGTTGTTTTATCTTCGTGTCGTGAGGTAGGCGGTGAGGTCACGTCAGACTGACGTCATCAGCCCCCAAACCCCATATCGAAGACAACCTTGGTCTAGCGTCACTCTAGCACCTAAAGTTACTGCGGCTGCCCGTTGAGTGGAAGCGAGTCAAGTTGTACTTACTCCGTTGTTGTTTTTGTCATTGACGCCTTCACCGTCTGTAAACTCTTGCAGAAAATTGTGGGTGTTTGTCCACCTTCAGAGTTTGGTCTTTTTCCAGAACCTGAGTGTTACGTGCACATCAATTTCACATATTCAGCTTATTTGTACAAACTCTTGGTTTCTCCCCGGCGGATGTACTCCGATTTCGTAGGATATCCCCCACCCCGGTGAGTCGACTCCTGCGACTCCCTGAAATATCCAGTGCTGCTTTTTTTTAAATTAAATTCTGGTGGCACGCAACGGTACGCAGTACCGGCACGTGTCTTTGGTTTTCGTTTTTTTTCAGCGCTGCTGTTATAGCCAGTTGGTGGTGAGCACCTGTACCTTTCCTTTATTTAAATAAAGAAAAGCTGATCGTGTCTATTGTCTTCCTATGTCTTTTCATTAACTTGTATGAGATGTGTGTATGTGCACGCTCGCGCGCATTTGTGTGCCAGCGCGCATTTGTATGCGTGTTTTTCTGACTGTTTAAATTACTTTAAAGTAAATCATCTTTGAGGTTTTCTAGTTGTTTAAAGTAAACGGAAACAAAATAAACAGATAGAAACATTACTACACCCAGCTTAGTTTCTATGTAAAAAAAAAAAAAAACAGCAACAAACATTTCAGCTGGGAACATGACGAAATCTTTAAATGAGTTAAGAAAAGATAATAATTCCTTCCCTCCCGGGAAGAAGTGATTAGAGGCTTTTGGGAAATATATCTATGTGAGATTTGAGGGGTGGATTAGGGCAGAAGTGGTAAACAACTTTCTCAAGGGGGTGCTCTCACAACGCGCTCGCCAAAAAATTAAACACAGATGCCCTCGCGCTCACGCGTGAGAACTTTTCGCAAAGACGGCTTGACAGAGCCCGTTGTACACCTCGCTCAGCCTGAGACGGCAAGGCCAAAGGTGCAGAGTGAGTACAGAAAATATCCTGTGATCTCCAGAATTTGGACAAAGTTGGAGTTCTCTTTGTCCGTTCTGATTCTGTGTTTAGTGAATTTCTTGTTGTGGGTTTATAAGTGAAAGTGAGGTCTTGCGTATAAATAAATAAATAAGGTCAGAGTTCTGTGATGTAAGATGGGGTTTTCTTCATGGCACCCCAGACATGTCTTCAGGTGCTCATATTCCCCGTTTAACATCTTGTACATCAGGTGGGCCTCTCATGCTTGGAAGGGACGATCTTCACTCACAGATTCTCTCTTAGCAGTGATGTGGATTGTTTCTCTAAGGACGTTAACTAATTTGGCGCGATCCACAAGCTAGCCAGCCATCTGCAGCTAAGGCAGAAGTGACCAGTCTATTCATTGCCAACAAACCTGCATGCACTGGACCTTATTGGGTCCCTTCCCCCCTTTCCCATCCCGTGTGGTTTCGAAACCTGCCATTTGGAGTGTGTGATAAATATGTGTGTGTGTGTGTGTGTGTTGTGTGTAGAGACGGATGTGTCCAACTCTAATCATCGCCTTTACTTCCCAGAAATGTTCCAGAAACAAAATTTCTTAAACTTATGAGGCCCATATACTATTTTATGAGATTAGCTGGACCCCCGCAGCGTACTGGTGGCACACATAAACTATGGCTTCATGCTTCTCCTAGGGCAGAACAATGCAGTCAACTGGACTCAGGGTTCAGCATGTTGAAAATGGGTGTTGTCACCGGCCAGAGGCTCGAACCCCAACATAGAAATTTGACGAGTACACACCAGTTTGTCGGCTCTGTTGCTTAGACGTTGCGCACGCGCTTCGTAATGCCGGGGTGCCGGGTTCGATCCCAGCTGCGAGCCTGGCGCCTTGCGTGGGTTTCAACAGTGGTATCGAGAAGCCGACCGTCCAGTGGCAATGGCAAACTCCTGCACGTAAATTTACCTAGATAAACCACAACAGCCAATGCTGTAAAGGATACGCAACTAACTTAAACACTCCAGCTGGCAATGATCTGAAGAACAATCTCTCATCTTGACTGACAAAGTCTCTTGATCCATTTTATCCTTCGGGGCTGCTCCCTGAAGGTCAAAAGACAACAGTCACATCCTTGATGACAATCGAATAAACAGACCACGACACTGTTCACAGAGTAAAAGTTGGGAACCTATCCTTTTTAGTACGTTTTAGAACCAACCCCAGCGTTTATTGGCTGTTGGGGTTTTTCTAGGTATTTTTACGTTTAGTAGTTTGCCATTGCCTCTGCACGGTCAGCTCTCAGTACCACTGTCGAAACCAACGCAAGACAAATCGTCCGCAGCTGGGATCCAACCCGGCACCCTGGCATTACAAAGCGCGCTCGCAACGTCTATGCCACAGACGCCGACATTCACAGATCCATAAAGAATTATAATTAAGACCCCCAAGAGGATCACTTAGCTGAGTCGGTAGTGCGCTGGACTCGTGTGCAGTGCAACTACTGCGGCATTTGTCAGTAATTCTTAATGAGGTACAAGAGGAAATAAAACCAAAGATCACCCCCCCCCCCACCCTGTCGCCCCGAGAAACTAGAAATATCCAGAAATCATGTGCTGTAAACCCTTTGGCTCGGTACTATGTATATCGATACCCTTCGGAATTGATTTCATGATAGATACCATAAACCACGTCTGACTTGAGCTCTAGGCAGATCTGGGAGATATGTGGCTTTTCTGTCTACCCACGGGCGTGAACCCGGGCCACAAGGAGTTCGTCGCCCTTTCGCCGCGCAGATGGCTTTAACCAACTGAGCTAGCGTGCCCGGCAAAAGTTATGAATACAGGCAATAATTATTTAGCGGTAACATTTGCTTTTACACACCTACTTTACTTAGTGGCCTTAAACGACATGCATGATTGATATTATTCTTGCAGTGAATGAATTTGAACCCCACTATGACTAATTAACACTCGAGGATTCAAAGAGTCACTATTCGGATGAGAATCTCCCAGGTACAAATTCCAGAAACCCTGTTCAAACCACAAGTTTATTTAGCAACCCTAACGGTTACGAAATAACCCAACATCCGGATGGAGTGAGGTGTTATATACAGTTTATTTTCTTTATAGAGTTAGTTAGCACACACGATTAGTTTGAGTCCTTAGTATAAATATGGAACTAGTGACACACAAAGGACATATAACCTTGACCTGGGGAAAAAAAATGGTATCCTTGACATTCTTATACATTATTCAATGCACTGTTCCAACCCATCTCTCTCCACCCGGGCATATATATATATATATATATTATATATATATATATATATATATATATATATATATATATATATATATATATATATATACATTTATGTTTTTATTAACTCTCTATTGCATAGCGCATGTATTTTTAATTGGCACAATTTAACTGGTGGACTTTTTACAATAAGGGTTCATCAAGTCGGATAAAAAATTGAAAAAACGAATAACACGAAGAAGAAGAAATTTTTTTACGAGTTAAAAAATAGTAAAGTGTATTTTGGCTCGTATCCGCGGGGAAATACTTTTGTTGTTATTGTTATTATTATTATTATTATTATTATTGTTATTATTATTATTATGTGCAAATGAGAAATAAATATAATACCTTTTCTTCCGTCTTCTTTTCTCTCCGATACGGTTGTAGCCCAGTGTCGTGATTTCATATAAAAATACATATGAAATAATATGAAATGTATAAACAAATGCCTAATATGGGTTCCTGGGATCCAGTGCCGCCAAGG